GACTTGAAAAAATTCACTGTAAGAAAAAATCTGCATTCTCAATGTGAGACATAGCCAGGGAATTGCATGTGATATTCTGCTCTTCTAATCAAATGGAGCCAATCACATACCCAATTTGAATACTAACTTACTCAATTTTTCACTTGTACACCCAATTACAGACTATCAGAAAAGTAGTGAACAGTGAATAGCATATGAGTTTCGGAGTTATCTAGATTCCACCAGTTTGATGTCATGTGTATATAAACTTTGTTTCGGTTCAGACAACAATGCTTTTAGATATATAACGATATCTACGTATGCCTTATGCCTATGGGTTGGTGCATAAAACAATGGGGGCTCACTATTGGTCACCAAGATAGATAATATTGTCGGTGTGCAACCCCCAACCCGTTTCAGGTATTAGTAAAAAATCTATAACCTCCCAATAAAATCAGTAATATCCTAGCTTAATATCTAGAGCGGCAATATTATGTTAAATTATCGTATAATTTCCCATTTATGCAGGTATTTCTTGCACAGCAGATCAACGCTGGGCCGAAAATACGGAAAAAGCCAGAGTCGAAGACTTCCAAGGGGCGGTCAATGCTTGACCTGGAGGGTGAACAATACGAAATGAATGAGTTCATGGGTCAGCAGGAAGTCAAGAGAAAACAAAAGAAAAAGCGTTCCAGCAGCAAAAGTACAGCCAGTTACGATATAGATGAGCTGGTATGAAGCCATTAAAGAGAATTCATTTACTCCTATTTTCTATACGCAACCGCAAAAACTGAATTACTTCTTGACCTAATCTGAAATATGTAACTAATTTTGTTATTAATTGACTGACACCATTTATGAACATATCTAATGTTTAGTCAAGACATCTATTTTTGACGATATTCTCAGCTCCTTGTCTTCATACTTTGTAAAAACTATTTCAGACAAATGAAGAAACAATCACAAGATTACAAATATTATTTCGAGAAAAATTAGTAATTTCTTTCTCAAAGTTTGAACCTGGGCCAAATGAAAGTATTCTCATCTCGCTGAATCACAAAGACTATGCATAACATTTATTCGGTCATAAGAGATATGGCTATTCTTGATATCGGACTGAACTTTAGCCGTTTAAATAAAATGAGTTAGGTACTCATTGTTTTGTGTGTCTCTTCTCCATAGGTTATACGATGCAAATCTGTAGCACGGTCTTGAACGGATAAATATAAGGAAAACAGCCAGCCATGGCCATGAGGGTCTGCTTATGGTTGAATTGTAACTATTCGAAGCGTAGTTTGTCTAAGTTGAATAGCTTACTATATTAGTATTGAGATGACTTTTTTTCATAATGAGTATACTTGATAAATAGATTTATATTTATTTCCTTCTCAGAAGACTATGACACCTTCTCCTCGGTCAGCTGTTTCATATATTGGAACCTTCTTGTTGACGCACTATCATTCGGTTTCGATGGAAATGTGTTCACCCTTTCTCTGCTACGCTACTTGACAGTTAGTATCAGAGCTGGAGCCGAGTTTTATGACTTAAAGTTAATAAAACTGATAAAAATAATTGGAACTTCGTTTCCATAGGTAAACATACAAATATATGGGATTATATGAGTATATACATATATAGATATATATACAACTAAACATTTACTTAATGGGGATGAGCCTGCCAAGTTTTATTGTAATTGTGAACCTTAAATTGTTATACGAATGTATCCCGGTTACGGTGATACTTGATAAACGACAGAGGAAATATCGGCATGTTTTCAAGAGATTATAAAAAGGGCTCCTCGAAGAACTCGCTGCCATGAAAGTCTTAGGTAAATTACACAGAAGATCAAACAGAAATATACATTGTCTTATGGTAAGATTGCACTTCACACTGCTCAATCACGAATTTTCATACGAAATTAAAGACGGCCTAACAGTGACGGAAAACAAGAGTGGTTTAATAGAAAGCTTGCTAGAAAAACTGGCTCGAGGACTGCCTCATATGCTCATATTTTACTTTTTTTGATTTCATGTCAAAAGTGGTTTGAAGTGATTTTTCCCCGAGTTTATGCTTAAGCCTGCTTTCTTTCTTTTAATCTAGGTTGGGTAACATAAAAATGAACCAAGCATACATTGAAGTGTTATATTCGGTGATCCAGGAATGTAAGCTCACAATAGCTACTAGAAGGTTTTCCGTTGGTTTCAGATGCCACCAGTCTAGGAAATAGTTTTACTCAGATACGTATAAAGGCTGAGGCAACATTTGACATGTAAAGTTAATTAATGGAACCCTAAGTGGATGTCGCATTGGCGAGATGGAAGAAGGCCTAGAATAAATAAATGAACAAGCTTAAATGAGAAGATAAGTAGGATATTCACAAAAAATATGTTTAGCTTTTCCACAACGCGTTGCTCCAAATATATATGCAATTTAGGCTTCGAAGTGTCCGGCAACTTTAGCAAGAAGGCATGCATATAAACCTCAATAAAGTGTAGGATAATACAATTAAGTCGATTTTATATGTTGCAAATTTTCTAAGATAATTACATTTCAGTAGATCTTTGACAATTCTACTTGTGCAACAAGTCATCTTAGCAAATTATGGGAATAACAGAGTGATTAATGTAAATATCATTTAGACAGAAGGTTCACTGATGATTTGGTGATTTTCTCGCCATAATTAAAGTTGAGCTTCAAGTGGAATGAGTGTTATCTCGGTTAGCGAGACCAGGTCTGCTTCATTACTCATCGAGATGCTGAAATCCAACCTTGAAATTTTGTCATGCTCACAACTTTCCCCCTGCCGGTGCGCAGGATTTATTTCCTCTTCTTCTCCACCTCGATTCATCTCTTTGTCTAATGAGTTTGTAAGGTGTCCAAGAGACGAAGACTCGTGCATTCTCCTAGCCAAAAAGGAGGTACGTGTTATGTGGCTGGGTGGTGGTGGTCTGGGTGGAGGAGATGGGTAGACTTGATGAGACACCTCGGCTCTAGTAGGGCAGGTCAACGAGAAGGGGTCGAGTTCAGGAGTTGTAACAGCTTGCTTGTAGCCAGACTCGATGGGAGGGATAATAGCACAGGCAGGATCCGCCTTTGTTTCCAAGGCAGTTTTACTTGTAAGATGATCATTAAAGACTTTACAATCAGCTGATACACCAAAATCTTCTTCAGCCATTGATCTTACGAGGCCACAAGTACAGCCGTATGTGCATGGATTTTGCCCAGAAAATGGTATTTCGTTCAGGTCACAGAGGCCCCGGCTCGGGAAGACTTGAGCTCTGGGCCAAAGCCTCTCTGATTCATTTTCACTTCTCAAATTCCCATCCACTTTCCCCATGTCGTGTTCCTTGCTCTTCTCGGAACCCGATGATGAAGAATCCAGCCTCAAGCACCCTGAGCGTTTCCTTGGACGTGCTTGGCGCTGCTGATGTTGCCAGAAATCGTTTACATCCCATTCATCAGAAGATGATGATGATGACGCTGATGAAATAGACGAAAAGTTGCAGTTGGGGTAGTTTCGATGTTTGGCGCGCTTTCTTCGACGCTGGTGGCGCGCCTTCTGGAACTGTCGAATATGAACCATAAATTGGCGCCACTTTACGATTAGATAGTCGATTAGTAGCCCAATGCGCAGGCCGTGGTAGACGGATCCAAACATAAGGAAGAAAAGATAGAGCCCCTTGAATTTCTCCGAGTTGTCGGTCATATTATGCAAGAAGGACGCACAAGAAATGGAGTTGAATTATGCTTACTCCAGCACCTGCTTACAATAGATGCTGTTTGTGATAATTTTACATTTCACGACTGAACTTTTTCAGCCTCCATATTTGCGTATTTCTATAGAGACCATTCGATCATACGTGTTCGGATATCTGCGTAAGTAGCTTCCGTTTGAGAAAGCTGATTCTTTTTTAGATTGCGGTCTTAATTCTCACCTTTAATATGTTCACTTGAGTAGGCCTTGCATTATTGTCATTGACTTGTGAATTCCTAAGCTGGCCGCAGTGTGTAGATATATGCTTTTCGTACAGCTGAAATCCTTCTAAATGTACGTGATACTTTTGCATATATTAGGTTGTCACAAAAATCTCATGATTTTTCGGACCAAGCGACTCAATCAGAGTGTTGATTAGCTATTGCCACTGCTATAGACATGGTTATGTACGTCCTGATAAGCAGAGACCTGGTGCCTGAGCTTGAGAGAATATCTAGAGTTAGCTATTTTAGAAAAACGATAAAACGTTTGGAAACGACTCTGCCTAGAATTTAGCTTTGGGTGTCGATCAAAGAACATTCCTTCCTCTCCCTGTACAAATCAAAGGTATGCGTTAAAAATCTGTGTAAATATTATCTGACACTGCTCTAGAAGGGAAAGTATGCGATTTATATCAGGTTTGTCCCCATAATCGCATTTAAAATGACTGAATTATATTCATTTTTGACCATGTATGAACTCACTAAAGGACTTTCTTGCTGAAGCATGTTTTTTTGCAAAGTTTATTTATCATTTTATAATAAAAGAGTACTTAAGAAGAGTTGGTAATTTTAAGAGGAGCCTTGTATTTCGATTAAGTTTGAGTTAACAAGCCGCTTGCAAAACAGAGCTAAAAAATGCCATTTATTAGTTTGTACTATCCTCTTTAAAAAAATTAATCATCAAAGAGAATTGATTACATTATAATTGTATTTGTTGCTAACATAATGATCTAGCCTTATGTGGCAGTCTTCTGGGTAGTTTGATGAATTTACTATTGAGCATTTAAAAGACGATAGATCCTAATTATCGTTTAGTATATTTGCAATATATTATGGTTGAAAATTTCGCCGCCTGAGGCATGAAATATGGAAGAAATATTTCATAACAGCCTTGCAGATTCAGCCATAGTCAAGAAATATCATAACACTCAAATCTCAGTATTGCTCACTGTATGATTATCTGATTAGGTTCTACTACTATGAAACTCTCCCACTATATATGAGGCAACCATAATCGGCTCGTAGGGTCGGAGAATAGGTGGTAACTTTTAAAAATTCTAAAACAAGAGGGCGCAGCCCAATATGTTTAATAAACTTCTTTAAAATAAAACCGACTAGAAACCACTTCAAAATAAATAGATTCTTTTGGACATATGACCATTTATTATTGCATCGATTAGTGTACTTTTTGTACAAACTTAATCTTCTCACATTTTCTGGGAGCAAAGTACGATAAAGGATAATCTGGTGAACATCGGGAGTCTGATTTCTGTCGATGCACACTAAGTTCGAGTGGTGTCATTGGGATGATAGAAATTATACCCAGAAAAAATTGAAGAAAATACTTGATTTTTGCACTAAATTTCCGTTAACCAAGTATCCCAAATAATTGTTCTTCTTCAGACTGAACAGAAGTTTCGAATTGTCATAGGTCTTGTCTGAGACCCAGCAATCCTCTAATTGTGATTGTGAATGGAGAGGATAAAAATTCACTATGTATATTTTTATCGATAGATAATGTCACGGAACTCGAAATCAGTTGAAACTGATACATTCCAACAACAAGCATGCTTCAAATATCCACGAACCAAAACATTTTCTAACTACAAAATAAATCTAACTAGTTTAATTGCAAACACATGGTCGTCTATAGATAGAACCTCTTGAGAATAATCGGAATCTAGAGGGGCCTGCTTGCCGTCTAACATTTGCCTAATCGTATAATATATTTTGACTAGGGTCATCTGAATCAGAAGAAAATTTTTTCGCACAAAACTCGCCTTCCATATTTCTAATACCGATGATGATGAGATGGAGACAAAATCTAAATGGAACCATAATCTCGGCCCAAATTAAGACGGCCTTTTGGAGGTATGTGACTAAGTAAAATTTAATCCACAAATCAAGCTTCATCTAGAATTAATCATTCCTGAAATTCCGTTCTAACGAATCGCATTATTAGGCTCAAATTACCTTTACAAGATGGTTCACTTGAATTGTATTGGATTGTGAGTGATGCAATGACACTTGTGGAAGATTGTTTCTAAGGTATTTTAAAGAAAATCTAGAAAAACTAGAAGGAAGCATATGATATTGACATTTTACGCCTTTCATTAATTTTTGAAATCTGAGTGGAAATGATTCGTACATTGGTCTTACCACAAATTAAAGGAATATTATTCAAGAGGCAGT